GCTTCTCTGATTTGTATCCAGTGTATTCCAGGCCAGTGGTTTCCATGGGAAATTCACATTGCCCACTGATGAAATATTGTTAATATACAGATGTTTAGGACCTTTCCTTAACTGCCAATTTGATTTTATTCTGCACCCAAATCTCATGGTTATAAATATGTTCTTTATTTATGTTTTTCTCACTGGCTTGAAGCTTTCCCTTATATAAAAGGATCATTGCCACTAATGTTATTAAGCTTTTGTTAGAACAAGTATTCCCCACATGTGGAATTCTACCACTTCTTTCAAATGACTAAGGAATCTATTTCCCCAGTAAAGTCACCCAAGATATTTAATGAGTTCTTCCTTTATCCCCCAAATTACGTTGTCCTTATCATCCCCAGTCATCTGAAATGATGGAAACAGTGGAATATTAAAGTGAAAACTTGCAAACTGAAGAAAAACTCAATCTCCCATGGCCTAAGGTATTACCCTTAGCACTGACTGCCCTCTGGTCCTCTCATGCTGGGTCCTATCTACTCTCCCCCCATGTGAGGGAGGAGATAACTGGCCCACCCATGAGAATTCCCTAGTGTCTAGACTCTCAAAGATTCTAATCTGGTCAATTCAGACATTTAAAAATAATGACAAGGATTTTTTTCCATTTTTCCATCTACTCTCCCTGGAAGTTCTACTACTATCGTTGCCTACATCTCTGAAGGCTCTCACTCTGCCTGTCTCTGCCCTTCTTGGAACCCCAGGCTAGTTATCCACTAGGAGAGTGCATCTAGTGGCTTTCTTCCTGGCGTGTGCCCAGACTAGGACTGAGGGAATGCTTGCTACTTAGAACTATTAGCAGTAAGCAGCCCTGAAGCCCCTGGCCCACTGACTCTAAATGCTTCCCATGAGGTGCCATGACATAGTTGACCCTTCCTGATGAACCTAGCCTACTGAGATGCCATGCCAGTGACCAGACCCAAAGACTGCAAATAGAGAACCCAGGTGGCCCGCAAAGGGTATTTGTCTACAGTCGCACCCCAGCGTGCTACAGGATTTAGACCACTAAGAGGAAGAGGAGAAGAGCACTTGCAGAGTGCTGCTGTCTGCCTCAGCAAAACAGCACAGTGTGCCAGGGCAATCCAGCCAGGCCAGCCTAGGCAGGGCCTCCACCTGAAAGCCAGAGGCTTGCCTCAGGTGCCCCTCTCAGCTTGGGATCTCCATGGACCAGGCATTTGCTCAGTCAGCTGCAGGCAGTATAGTGGCAGGTTAGAGATACTTTGGCTACCACCTAAGCCAGGAGGGGTCACATACTCCACTCAGTCACTCAACTAGAAATGTGGCTTTCTAAATTGTCACTCCCTCTCCCTCACTGCTCTCCCATGTCTTACCTGTCATCCAAATTGGGATCTATTCTACTTGTTTTTCAGTTCTGTCTGTCTCCATCTCCACAGCTAGTCCCCTAGTCCAGGCCCTATCATTTCTTACAGGGAGGATTCTGTAAGCACTTCCTCTTCTCCCTGCTCCACTCTGCCCACTTCAGTCCACTCTTCTCACTGCCACTGGAGAGCCCACTGCAAAGCAATACTCTCGCCGTATCATTCCCCTGCTTCAAACCTTCCTGACTCCTCTTTGCCCTTGAAAGAAAATCTAAAGTCCTTGTTATAGCATAAAGTTCTGATCCTGCCCATCTGCGTCAGGGGTCCCCAAGACCATCCCTGGGTTTGGTGATTCACAAGAAGAACTCACAGGACACAGCACATCATCACACTCAAGGCTATGGTTTATTATAGTGAAAAGATACAAAGCAAAATCAGCAAAGGGAAAAGCACACAAGGCAAATTTCTGAGGAAACCCGGGCACAAGCTTCCAGAGTCCTCTTCCAGTGGGTCACACAGGATTCACTCAGTTCCCCTCAGCAGTGCGTTGTGACAACAAGTGTGAAATGCTGTCAACCAGGGCAATTCATTAGAGACTCAGAGTCCAAGGATTTTACTGGGTACTGGTCATGTAGGCACCCTCTGCCTAGCCTTTACCTAACAGGCACACGTTGCTTTCACCTATAGGAAACCTTCCCCATTATCTTGTAGCTGTAGTTATCTGCTCACCCCTCCCACATCCATCAAGTCATGGCCAGTTTCAGAATGTGTACCCCACCAACTGCACCTGCTTATCCTCCACTCCCTCCTCAATCCATTATAATCCAACTACAGCCTTTCCCACTGCCCCAACCTACTCCCCTCAAGGTAGTCATGAGTTCTACATAGCCAGATCTGATGGGCCTACTTCAGGATCTACAGCGCACTGGAAAGTTAGCTCAGCATGGCTTGGTTTCCATGACGGTCATCTTTCCTAATTCTTCCATTTATTCAAAATTTTCCTTCTCAATAGCTCTCTGTAGCTCCTCTTCCTCCTTAAGACCTGTCGGTATTACTTTTCAAAATTATGGTCCATCTGCCTTTGCTTCTCTCATATTGTTACTTCTTTTCATTTTATATATTCAGCTAGGGTTTTAGGGGATCAATAATTAATATCCCCTCTTTTTGAGACAAAAGAAGAGCAGAAAATGGAGATAAATGTCAGCTGATGAAGCAGGTGGCTTTAGATGTACACCCCAAAAAGAAGGCTCCCTCAGCACCCGTGAACCACGTGGACTTACCCACCCAGCCAAGGGCCTAGCTGGACAAGTGGCCCTGGAAGCTTGCAGAGAAAAGTCGAGAATACATGCTTTGTACACACTGCCTTCCAAAGGCATTCTCCAGGCAACCTCATCCATTCCCTTCAGCGACTTCCTATGAGCTGACAACTCCCAGCTCTCTAGCCCCAGGTCAGATCTTTGCTCAACTCCAAATTTGTTTACTCAGTAATCTACTGGACATCATTGGCTGGAGCCCCCTACAGGCACTTCTCATTCGGCATGGCCCAATGACCTTATCATCTCTCTGCATCTCTCAGCAGGCCTGCCCCCAAACTCCTTACCCCCAGCTAGTTCCTGTCACCACCCATCCAGTTGCCTAGCCCTGAAATCTGGGAAGCAACCTTGGCTACCGCTTTTCCCTCACTGTTACTTTATTTTTTTAATTTTTATTTTGGAGACAGGATCTTGTTTTGTTACGCAGGCTGGAATGCAGTGGCAGGAACATGGCTCCCTGTATCCTTGACATCCCAGGCTCAAACAATCCTCCCACCTCAGCCTCCCAAGTAGCTGGTACTACAGGCATGTGCCACCACACCTGGCTAATGTTCTTAAGTTTTTTGTAGAAACGGGGTCTCGCCATGTTGCCCAGGCTAGTCTCAAACTCCTGGGCTCAAGCAATACTGCCACCTCGGCCTCCCAAAGTGCTGGGATTACAGGCGTGAGCCACCACGCCAAGCCCACTTTTACCTTTAATAAGTCAAAAATACTTGCAGCCTTATCACCTCGGCCCTGGTGTAAACAAACAGTCTCCAAGAAGGCCTCTTGCCTTGTCTTGTCATATACTCCCCTGCCCTGGTCCTCCACAGGGCAATGGAGGGATCTTTTTTGGACTCAAGTCTGGCTGTGGCACTCTCCTGCAGGAAAACCATCAGTGGCTCCCAGGGCCCTCAGGACGTGGGTCACACTCCTCAGCCTAGGAGCAGGTGCCTGCCCAGCCCCTACTCAGTGCTTCCTGTCAAGCCAGGCTGGATTAACCCTCCTTTGTGATGGCTACTGACTGGATGTTCCCTATACACTTTGTGAGCCTCTACTTGGAATGCCTTCCCAAGCACATCCAACTGGCAAAATCTCCCTCAGCCTTCCAGACCCAGCTCCAACATCACTCTCCCTGTAAAGAAAGCCTTTCCTGACACTCCCCCTGCAAAACAAAAACAAAGCCCAGAACCACTCACCTCCTCCTTCATCCACAAGCCTCACTTTTTATATCCCTTCACTGCATGGAACACTGACTAGTTCCAGAAGCCACACGATGTGACAGGAAGTCCAAGGTTGTTCACTCTGTTTTTGGACTGGGCCTTTCCAGGGTCTGGGGCCAAGGAGTCAAAGATGGGCTAGATATTCTTAGAAGGTAAAACTTGTTATCTAACAGTTGAGCCAGGCCCTAAAAATAACCTCCCTATCTAACTATTAATAATGATGGAACCTCTGTGGTACACGAAGCCCCAGAACAAAGAAGGCAGATAACTGTGTTTCTTTCATCCCTGCAAAAGGAGCCCCAGGCCCCACCTGCTCCCCACAGCAAATACCCTGCTGGACTCCACCAGCTCCTCTCTTGGGGCCATACGAGTCTTAGCTCTCTCCTTCTACATTTCTGTCTTGTTTAAGAAACTGTTCGCTTTGCACCCCTGGAATCACTGGTCTATTGACGTGTCCAGAGCTGCATGGACATGCAGTGTTTGCGCTGGCAGGCGAGATGCCTTCAAGAGAGCCTGACTTGAAACTCTCACACCAATGCCACGTGGTCAGCTCCAGTAACAGGCATGCTTGTCCTCTTGCTCATGCACGCTGGCACACATCAACACGTGGCCAGTCACATCCTGTGTCGCTCTCTCATGCCTGCTTAGCCATGCTCCCTTTCTCTCCCTCTGGCCTCTCTCTCTCTCTCTGCTTCACTCCGTCACTCTTTTGCACTTGTACCCTCTTTCTTTTTTGCTCTTTCACACTCTGTCCTTCTCTGACAATGGCATTTTACGCACACAAATTGCCCTCACTCTGCCCAGGACCCCCACCTGTAGAGCACCTGTACTCTGAGAGACAGCCTTCCTTCCTGCCCCATGCATTGGGAATTAGCCAGGGCTTCTCACACCTGGGGACAGACACATCCTCCTATCACAGTCCCCTCCTGGCCCCTTGAGCCACAAGAAGCCTGATGACACTGCTCTAGGACCAGGGAATCACCACCATGACCCACTCACAGAACAGGCACCTGGGTGTGCAATGTGTTGGGTATTGGCACAGGGTGTGGGCAAGTGGTTCGTACCTGGGTCGCAGACCCCAACAAAAACACGGGCTCTAGAGGCAGAGTCCACTGCAGCTCAGCCCTTACCTGCTGGCACAGCTCTCTCGTCTGACAAGTTGCTCAGATCCGCTGGGGCTGTTCTGCCGCTCTGGGGTGCTGGGATCTGCAGGTTGCTGAGTGGGTACAGCTGGGTCTCCTTGGCCACCTCCTGGGGCTCCAGGCCTCTCCTGCCAGGCCTCTCCGACCTTGGTGGCCACATTCTTCTCCTCATAATCCGCCAAGGCCCTGAGGAAGAATAAGCACTCTTATGAAAAAAGTGCTCTGAAACTAACCCTGCCTCAGTCCCAGCACGCAAGCTGGCTGTCACCTCCTGTGGACTTGGAGGCACTCATATCCCTGAGAGTGGGGCAGAAAGGAGCCAGGCACAGCCCCAAGTCCAGGGAGCAGACAGTCTCCTTGGTAGGAGCCCAGCACCGCTGCTCCCTTCCCACTGAACAGGCGTCCCTGTGTAATAGATGAAGCCGAAGCCGAAGCCAAAGCCGAAGCCTCCGATGTTTTTGTTATTGTTGTTTGGAGGCAGGATCTCACTCTGTTTCCCAGGCTGGAGTGCAGCGGCGCCATCTCGGCTCACTGTAACCTCTGCCTCCTGGGCTCAAGTCATCCTCCCGTCTCAGCCTCCCAAGTAGCAGAGACTACAGGTCCACACTACCACGCCCAGCTAATTTTTGTATTTTTTTTTCTGTAGAGACGGGGTTTCGCCATGTTGCCCAGGCTGATCTCAAGCGATCCTCCTGCCTTGGCCTCCCAAAGTGTAGGGATTACAGGCATGTGCCACTGCACCCAGCCCTCCAATTTTTGGCTTTTGCCACCCCTGAATCCAGCAAGAAGGACGGGGCTTCCCCCAGATGTCTCAGGCATCGAGCTCTTCAGGGGTCTTCTCTGGCCTCACCCCATGCTTGCACTGTACCCTCCAGTCTGGGTACCATGGGAAAGAGGCTGCTAGCTGATCCTCCACTTCCACACCCCTCCCATCACCAGCCCCACCTTGAGATGCAAGGTACTGCTTCCAGAGTCTACTAGGCCAGGTGCAAACACCAAGTTGGGCTACTAAGAGAGTGAGCCCAGCATTTCAGAATGAAAATCGACTTCATTATCACCTCAATCCTAGCTCACTCTGAATATAACCTTCCCAATATCACCAGCCTGCCTTCAATAGCTAGTGGGGGCTACCCCGAGACAAGAACACACTACAGACTACCCTGGGACTCTTTGTATATAGGAGTTAACTTTGTCTAGGCAGGCTTCCTGCCTTCAAGCTGGAATAACAAGGCCAGCAGAGGCCACACTTTTTGGAAAGTATGCCCTGAAAGCAATAGGATTCTTCAGCCTCAGGTGGAGGTGGGGGGGACTAAAATTCTCCAGCAGGGACAACAAGCCAATTGCCACCTCCAGCTGCACCAGGCAGAACTGCAGGCAAGTGAGTATGACGCCACACAGTAACTGTGGGAAACCATCCCACTGGGCCTGTGCTTCTCTGTGCTGCTTCCACCCTTAGGGCCCGCTATGCAGATCCAAAAGTGGTCTCTCTGCACAGGTAACACCAGTCCCAGGGTTGCCAGCAGGGTGCCCTGACACACCCGCTCAATCTCTGTCAGTGACATGCTTGCTTGAGTCAAAGACAAACATACAAGGCCTGAAGAGCTTGTATCCCTACTGTGGTAGCCCTGACTTAGCTTTACTATGGATTCAATCAGAGTCCCGTCCTGTCCCATGTCCTCTGCAGAAATACACTAGTAGAGGTTGCCCTCACCAAGTTTGTGGATAGAGCCAGAATTCTCCACAAAGAGAAACTTGGGCTCTACTGTGACACAGGGACAAATGGATGAACAAGGCTTCTTTGTTCCTAGGCCTGTGGCAGGGCCACTGTCATTTTAGTAGGTATGACCTATGTGGGTCATAAAAAGGAAATCTTAGGCAAACACTCACAGGAAGCTCTGCTGGACAATGTAGCATCCAGGGGAATTACTTCCCAGCTATCCTGTCTGAGTCCCTCATGAACTGCCTGGAAGTCAAGTGGTTAGAGATAGGCAAGGTAACGCAGGGGATGGTGACCAATGGGACTTTGGATTTGGGATTGATTTCTCTGAAGCCTTTCCTTCTGAATGTAATTGGACCAAAGATCCAGTAGCCTAGTACAGCCATTGTCAATTCCTGACACAACCATACTCTACACACTTCCATTCTTTAAAAAAAAAAATTGTAGTCCCGGCGTAGTGGTTCACGCCTGTAATCTCAGTACTTTGGGAGGCAGAAGTGGGTGGATCAGTTGAGGTCAGAGTTTGAGACCAGCCTAGGCAACATGGCAAAAACCCATCTCTACAAAAAAATACAAAAATAAGCCAGGTGCAGTGGTATGTGCCTGTAGTACCAGCTACTTGGGAAGTTAAGGCAGGAGAATCACTGGAGCACAGGAGGCAGAGGTTGCAGTAAGCCGAGATCACCCCATTGCACTCCAGTCTGGGGTGACAGAAGAGAAACACTGTTTCAAAAACATATGTATATGATATACATATATAAGATATATATCATATATATGATATACATATATAGATATCATATATGATATACATATATGGATAGATATCATATATATACACACATATATATATAAAAGATTTGTAGAGATGAGGTCTCACTACGTTGCCCACGCTGGTCTCAATCCCCGGAACTCAAGTGGTCTTCCCGCCTCGGCCTCTCAAAGTATAGGATTACAGGTGGGCGTAAGCCACTGCACCCAGCTGACACTTCCACTCTTGTACTACCTCCACTAGACTCCTCCACTGGCCAACAACGGTTGCCAGTGGTGAGGAAATGTGGGGCCTAAACTTCACCTGATCCTCATGAAGAAAAAATATAAACTTGAGAAGCCCATGCTTGCAACATAATGAAGAAAACAGCATGTTCTATATGTAAAATTTGATGACAAAAGTTTAGTAGGAAGGAGATGAGATATCGTGTCATATCAAATGAAATCAAGCCAATAAAGCTGGTAAAGTCAGCCTTCCAAGTGTCCCTGAATACCTCTGAGAGCAGGAGATATTCCTCTGGTGCTGCTTCACTTAGCTTGCAGGTTTAAATGTCCTACACGCTTTGCATATACAAACCGATTTGGCCGTTTCAACAACCCTATATGGTAGGAGGTATGATTACTACTATTCTACACGTGAAGAACCTGAGGCACAGAGGAGATGAGTAACATGCCCAAGGTCACGGAGCTTGTAAGTGACAGAGCTTGGACTGGAACCCAAAGCACCAGAGTTCAGGCTCTCAACCACTATACTATACCGCCTCTCCCCGTAGTGTGATGGAACGGCCCAAGGTGGAATAGGGCAGAGTCCCCACAGTTTGGGACAGTTAAAATTGTGTTGTAACCTAGGGAAAGTAAGGCTCCACTGCCCTGCAGGATGTCAGGACGACGCCACCCCCAAGGCGCTCCCTCATCAAACTCCTAGGAACAAAGTCCCTCCTCACTGAGCCCCACAGACCAGCCCCGGTCAGCCCAAGGGCCCAGCGTGGTTGGAGGGTCCACATCCCCTCCCCCTGGGCAGCCCTGACGACCCATGTCCGGTGTACCGGAGGCCATGGCCGCCAGGGCTCCCCGCGGAACAAGCTCAAGTCGCAGGGGCCCCGTTCGGTCCCTCGCGGGACCGCGCTTCCTCCCGCCGGGGACGGTCCACGCGCGGTCACCCCAAGGCCACTCTGGCCGCGGCTTCAGACCTTATGCGGGGGAAGGGGCAGCCAGCGCCTCGGGCCCATTCGCGATCCTCGGGCGACCTCTGGCGGCCGGCGCGGGCATGGCCTCAGGAGAATCCCCGCCGAGGCCGAGCTCGCCCCAGGCGGCCATTTCACTTTGTGGACAGTCGCATTTTCCCGGCGGGCACTGCGACCGAGTTCGGGGCTTCAAGAAATGGCGGCGTGCGCAGGCGTACTCACTACGGGCGGGTGCTAGCCGAGGTGCACAGGCGCACACGCGTCGCGTACGCTGGTGGCTAGTGCGCATTCGCACAGGCGCAGTCGTGCGCCTGCTACCCAGACTCCCGGTAAGGCGAGTGCTGCGGTTCTCTTCCATCCCTTTTTCTTTTCCGCCCCTTCTGTCTTCCCAAATAGCTCGTCAAAGCTCTAGAGCAGGATTTGTCAACCTTAGCACTATTGCCATTTTGAACCCCATAATTCTATGGTGTGTGTTGGGGGATGTGGGGTGGGTGCTATCCTGTTCACTGTAGGGTATTTAGTAGCATCCCAGATCTCTGCATTTAAGAAGCCAGTAGTATCTCCCACTCCCAGTGTTTACAACCAAAAATGGCTCCAGACATTGTATCGTAGCAGGCTGGAAGGTTTGGGAGATGCCCCTGGTTCAGAACCACTACCTGAGAACAATGGTTCTCAACCTAGCCTGGAAAGAGAATAAACTGGGGAGCTTTGAAAAAGACACAGATGATGGAGACTCGCCCCAGAAAAATAAAATCCAAATCTCTACCTGGGACTTCGGAAAGTTTTTGTTGTGTTGTAAACCAAAAATAAAATTCTAAGCTCCCCAACCGAATGAATGGACACTTCTCTCAGCCAAGGGGACACAACTAGTGAAAAACTAGTTCAGGTCATGATGAGAAAGGGGAAGGTCGGACATGCCTCAGTATATTCTCCATTTGGAATTCACACCCAACTGACCAGTATTAACATTGAGAGAGATATTCAGACTGACAAAACAGACTCTTTGAAGCAATAATATGCCAAATTCCAACCTGACTCTAGTATAGCATCACATGACAAAGAGCAAGTAATGAAAGAAATGGAAGTATTTTACACCAAAATATATTTTTTGACATATTTTGAAATAACCCTGCAAAGCTGTCTCTCCTGGGGGAAATTTACATTCTGTAGAGAATCTTCTTCCCTTTCCAGGGCTTTTTCTGATCTGAAGAGTTTAGCTGAGAGTCTAGCACCTTTTAAAGGTCTGAATAAGAAACATTGGTCATCTATTGCTTCTAAGGGCGGCCACTTATGAGACTTCATCTATATAAGAACTTTGGTCTCCACAACCCCTTATCTTAACCCAGGCACTCCTTTCTATTGATTGCAGGTCTTTAGAGAATAACAACTCTTTCAGCCAATTGCCAATCAGAAAATCTCTGAATCCACCTATTACCTGGAACCCCACCCTCACCCCCACCCCCACCACACTCCCAGCTTTGAGGTGACTGGCCTTTCTGGACCTAACTAATGTATACCTCACATATATTGATTGATGTCTTATGTCTCCCTAGAACATATAAAACCAAGCTGTAACTGAATCATCCTGGGCACATGCTCTCAGGATCTCCTGAGGCTGTGTCACGGGTCATAGTCCTAACATTTGGCTCAGAATTTCTTCAAATATGTAATAGAGTACAGCCTTTTTCATCAACAGTGTGTTTCAGTACTTCCTAGATGATTCTCAAATACAGCCAGAGTTGTGAAACACTGTAATCAAGAAAGTCTGTACTGGCCAGGCATAGTGGCTCACGCCCGTAATCCCAGCAATTTGGGAGGCCAAGATGGGTGGATCGCTTGATGTCAGGAGTTTGAGACCAGCCTGGCCAACATAGTGAAACCCCATCCCTAGTAAAAATATAAAAATTAGCTGGGCGTGGCGGCATGAGCCTGTAATCCCAGCTACTCAGGAGGCTGAGGCAGGAGAATCGTTTGAACCCGGGAGGCAGAGGTTGCAGTGAGCCGAGATCACGCCACTGCACCCCAGCTGGGGCGACAGAGTGACACTCCGTCTCAAAAAAAAAAAAACCTCTGATTTTGCAGACATTTAAACATCAGAGGAAAGTAGTGTGAGCCTGGCTCTAGAGTTAGCTGGATCTGGGCTCTGTTCCTAGGTGTGTTCATCACAGGAGTGAGTCCCTCAGTTTTCTCCTCTGTCAGGTTACATAAGAAGCCTTATCCTTTTCCATGTCTGGGGAGAACTAAGGTGAGATTACACAGCATGTTAACCATGTTAACCAGCTGTAAGTTACTGATTCTGGGTCTTGAGACTAGGCTCCAAAGACAAGATTTCATAAACTAATTTTTTGTAATTTCTCCTGAGGATTTTCTTAGAGCCTCTTCCCTTGGAACTCAGCTCTGCCACTTGTAAGGCCTTGGCTAAGTCACGTAATCTTTCTGTGCTTCAGTTTCCCACCTTACCCATCTCACAGGGTTGCTGGCAAGGCTGTAAGGCACCTGGCACAGCACAGTATTGGTGTCAGCTATTGTTTTCACTCTGATTGTTAATTGTCAGTGCAATTTGAATGAGAAAAGAAATATATTAAGGCCTCATACCTTAGATATCCATTGCCCACCCCAGGCCCCAGCATCTTGGTTTAAGTAAAAAAGCAACAGCAATGTGGTATGAAAATGCAAACATGCATTCACCTTTTAAACACCTAAATCACATCAGACTCCCCTTTGGCTTAAAACTTGAAACAAGATCCAATCTCTTAATCATGGCTTACCAAGGCCCTGCTCCATCTATGGCCCTCCTCACTGGCCAAGCTCCAGCCACTCTGTCCTTTGAAACATGTTAAGCATGTTCCCATCTCAGGGTTATTTGGTTTGTGGTTCCTTATCTACAGCTCTCTTCACCGTATTCTTTCTAGAGTTGGCTCCTTCTCATCTTTAGAGGAGCTTGCCTGAGTTGCCTTTTCCACCCACCTAAGTCGTACCCTCCTCACCGTCATCACTCTATCTCAGCTGTGGCTGTTTTCTTTCGAGCAGTATCCTTCCCAGGAGGCACAGAGACCTAGGCTCCAGGCTTTTGGATTTTGTTGTAATTAGGCATAAACCTTTGAGAGACTGTGAGGAGAACCATATGAGACGCTGTGAGTAGAGGGCTGTGCACACAGTAGGCTCCAATATCACAGTACAAGAGGCCAATCAAGCCCTACCTAGTTCACTGAGCCTCCTCTTCCAGCACTCCCTGACAAGGACACTCATCGCTGACCACACCCAGCAACATACAGTGCCCAGGAAACACCAGGTTTCCTTGGGCCCTTTACGTATCCTGTTCCCTCTGCTTGAAAGACTCCTCCTCACCTGTCAACATTCCATTCAAAGGCCACCTTCCCATGAAGCCCCCTTCCCCTCCTCTAGCGCTGATGTATTGCTCTAATCTGAACCAGCCTTTGCCCACCCCCGGCCTGGGAGCTCCTGGAAGGCAGCGGTGTTTCTGATTTGTCTGTGTGCTCCAGCCTCCAGCAAAAGGCAGGTGCTGTCAGAGTGGTTGTTGACTGAAAGACCCTTTCTGAGTATGGTGTACTTCCTGGCCAAGGCAACAGAGTTTAGTAGAAAGCTCCCTGGCCCCAGAAGCCAGAGGGTTCCCGTTGGGGCTTCTGCCCTTGCTATGTGCCTCAGGCCAGCTCACGAACCTTGCTGGCCTTCCTAGCCAAAGGCCAATAGACACGCAGCCCAAGCTGCGTCTCTCGTTCAGCACTGTCTCCTCATGTCTTACCTCTTTGGGTCTGCCTTTGCATCCTCCCGGGCTGCTGTGCTGTCGCTCTTCCTATCAGCAGGGACATCAGAGACTGAAGTGGCACTGGAGCTGAGGAAGGAAACACAGGCCCGCTGAGATGTCAGGCCAAAGAAGGCTGGGTCCCAGGTCTTCTCCCTCCAGGCTGCCTTCTCACCAGAAAGGGGGAAACTGTGTCTTCCAGTAAAGGCTGGTGTTTCAGTCTTGGCATTAGTGTGGCACCAATGCCACTGTGTGTGACAACCTCGTGTCAGCTTTGGACATGGCCTTAGCACCTGAGTTCAAGAGCAAGCACTGCCCCTGACCAATTTGGGTTCCCTGGGGAAGTCCCCTCCTGGTTTTGGGTTCTAGTATCCTGTAAGGTACATGGATGTGCATTGGTCAAGGAATAGGCAGAGGGGGATATCCAGGCCTGCATGACTCAGTGAGTCTGGTGCACAAGTGCACACCTCCACTTCTTATATAACCTGTTTGTGTAAGTTCATACTTGGCTCTAAGCCACTATTGTCTGTAAAAGGTATACCTGCCCTGTTGACGCTGTGTACAGGGAACATGTCTCTTGGGGCTTGGCTCAGCTCATCATGGCTTGACATGGTGGGTGCGTGGGAACCCAGAGAAAGAGACAGCGCAAGAGCTGTCTGTCTTTGCAGATGGACAGAGGGGAACCAGGACACAGCTTGGTTTGCCCATGCCCAGGGAGAGAAAGAATGAAGTGGCTGACCCTGAAGGCAAGGGAGAGCTGGCCGTGCAGCTGTGCGTGGGGGCCATCGGACTAAGCAGCCAAGACAGGGCAGACAGTGTGAGAGTAAGCTGCTAATGATTTGAAAGCTAGTTTGAGAAAGCCGTGTAAGAGAGCTGCTGCTGAGTAAAGTCATGTCTCATTTACCTGCTGTCTCTCGAGTGTTCTTCCAGCTCCCTGCCCCATGTCCAACCATTCCCCTCAGCCCTGAGCTGCGGCTGGAACCTGACCCTGAGCATGACATATCCTTACCTGACCTACACCTCCTTAGGGTTTGTGGGAGTCAAGAAAGATTGTTCCTTACTAGCACTTGGCAAATGCTCCTGACACCCACAGCAAAGTGACCATGCCCACCCAGAGAGCCCAGCACCAACCTACATGGACCCAAGCTGAGGTGGCAGAGAGGAGGGCATCGGAAGGCAGAGCCTAGCAAGAGATCCTGCTAGGAGGTCTCAGAGAACCTCTGCTGTAGGGACTACAGCCAAGTTTAGCAAGCAAATCATGGCTTTGCTGTCACCCAGCTGTGTGACATTGGGCATGTTACCTGACCTTTCTTTCTGGGCCTCAGTTTTACCATCAATGAAATAGGGATGCTAATCATGTCTGTCTCGTAAGTATTCTGAGAAAAGTAAATGAGTTCATAGATGCCAAGTACTTTGAATAATACCTGGGCCATAACATGTGCTAATGTGTTCCTGTTACTACTGGGCCCTGTGGCTGTTTGTAGAAGCAGTGCTCCTTCCCAGTCCACCTGTATTCACCCACTCAATATGGATTTTGTGGCGAATGTCTTACCCAACCTTCACGGGGTTGAGTCACATTCTCTGTGTCTCTGTAAGCCAGGCAGACTGATGCTTACGGCATGCTGAACAATCACTGCCTATACAAGTCTGTGCCCTCCACTAACCAGCACACTCACTAAGGGGCGCTCTTGTTTGCTCCCAAACCTCTTTATGCCAGTTGTATTTGCACAAGAAGGGGACAGCAGGTCCTGGCCTCTGAAACCAGTGTCTCTGAGCAGGTCCAAGGAAAGGCCCCTGGGGCAGTAACTTAGTTATTTAAGCTGCCTCTAATGGGGAAGAAGCACCAAGTTCAACGATTAAGTAAATCCATGAAAATGAATGGAAAAGGAGAGTGGTTGTTTCCATGACAAACAATCTTGCCTTTGGAAAAACAATAAAGGAGTTTGTTGAAAATCATGGTCAAACTAAGTGTGTGGTCAGCCCTCTATGTTGTGGGTTCCACATCTGTGGATTCAACCAAGTTCAGATTGAAAATATTTGGGACCAGGTACAGTGTCTCATGCCTGTAATCCCAGCACTTTGTGGGGCTGAGGTGGGTGGACTGCTTGAGCCCAGGAGTTCCAAACCAGCCTGGGCAACATGGTAAAACCTTATATCTACCAAAAATACAAAAATTAGCCAGGTGCGGTGGTACACACCTATAGTCCCAGCTACCCGAGAGGCTGATGTGAGAGGATCCCTTGAGCCCCAGAGGTTGAGGCTGCTGTGAGCTGTGATCACACCACTGCACTCCAGCCTGGGTGACAGAGAAAGGCCCTGTCTTAAAAAGGAAGACAGGAGAGGAGGGGAGGGAGGGAGGGAGGCAGGGAGAGAAGGGGGGAGGGGAGGGGAAGGGAAGGGAGGGACTTGGAAAAAATAATTAAAATAGGATGGTTGCATCCATACTGACCATGTGCAGGCTTTTTTCTGTCATCATTCCCTAAACAATACAGTATAACAACTATTTATATACCACTTACATTGTATGAGGTATTATAATAATCTAGAGATGCTTTAAAGGGTACAGGAGGATGTGCATAGGTTACATGCAAATGCTACACCATTTTATATCAGGGACTTGAACATGCATGGATTTTGGTATATGAGCGAGGTTCTGGAACCAGTCCCCCACAGATACCGAGGGACGACTATATAGGTAAGACGACTGTAAAAGACTGGGTTAAAATTTGTGAAAATCTAGAAGATTCTTCAGATGACTTTACAAGTAACTTTGAGGCCTGGTTTCACTTTAAGGAAACAGAGGACAGCACAGCCTTCGTGTTATGAGGGTGTATAAGCAGGCGGGGCGACACGGAGGAGACAAGAGCCACCCAATCACAGTAGACCAGAAGTCTCTTCGCGACAGCCGTCAGCAGAGCCAGTCAAGCTGCACCACCATGGGGAGAGTAGCGGGAGCCCCAACTGGATAGAAGGCCAAAGGTTCTGCCATGCAGGACCCAGTGGGTCATGGGAAAGGGTTGGGACTTCATTCTAAGGAAAATGGAGAGCCACTAGAAGGTTTTAGCAGGGGAGAAATGTGATCTAGCTTATTTTTAGAAAGATCCCTCCAACACCTCTGCGGATGGCAAAAAGATGCAGGCTGCGTGGACAGGGCTCTAGCGGAGTCCTCCCCATTAGTGGCAGCTCAAAGAACAGAGTCTCTGGTGGCCTCCCCTTGGACCTGCTCAGAGACAGTGGTTTCAGAGGCCAGGACCTGCTGTCCCCTTCCTGTGTTGACTTGTGGGCCTGGATTTAGAAGCCAGGCTCTGGTTCCAGGCATGAATTGCAAACTATTGAAGTTAGTGAGGGAAAGGGGCCCTGGGTATGCTGAGGGAAGTAGGAAAGCATCAGCAGGGCCTTCCCGACAGGATTCCCTCCTTGGCCAGACTGCAGTAGGATGCAGGAGGCAGATGATATCTTGCGATTGTAGCTCTTTGCAGACACTGGCTTTGCCACTCTTCCCTAGCTATCTGCTCTGAAGAAGGGCTCTAGCATAATTTGGAGCTAAACTATTTATGCCATCATCTGCATACCTAGCCTTTGCCCCAAGGATGATTCAGGCTTGGTTTGGAACCACTTAGGGACAAGTGGGACCTTGCCACTCCCCAAATCACCTGAGAAAGTGGCCCCTGACTTGATCCAGGTCCAAGAAGCCACAGCCCAGCTGGACACACTGGTCTCTCCGGGGCTACTGCTTTTCCTCTCCCTGAACCTCAGAGCAGAGCTGGCCGGGGTAGGGGTGGGGCAGGAAAAGGAGAGAAGGGAGAAAGCAGGAGTAAAGGGCCTCCTAGCTGGTCCTCAGAGCTTAACCGAAAAGTAAGAAGGTGCCGACTCTTCCATCATTCAGTCATTCACTCATTAGTTTGTCCCTTCATGTATTCCCCACACGTTCATTTGACCAGCCCAGGACCAGCACCATGTGGGGGCTGGGCCTCCAGCTGTGAGTGCGCCTAGTGCCTACTCTGGAGGAGCTTGAGGGCCAGTGGCAGGGGTCAGAAAAAATGAACAAGATTCCAAGAAGTGGAAAGCCCAAGGACACAGGATGTGGTGGAAGGTGGGCGTGTGGGAGAAGCAATAGACAGGAGTCATAGGAAGTGACCAGTGCCCCACCCCCAGCAGTCCAAGCAGCCTGGCAGCTTGACCCTGTTCTGTCACCAGGAGCATGAGAGAACCTGCCTCCCCCGGGCAGCTTACCTTCCTCTCTCAGAGCCGATGTCTACTGCAGCCAAGCCTTCAGGCCAGGAGCCCGTGGCTCCGGATCCCACGTTGCCATCACTCAACTGTTCACTTGACCTGTTACGAGAAGTATTTGCTGACTCTGGTTGCGTTTTGATCTCACCTAACCCAGATGCCATGAGAGTGGGCCTCAAGTCCAGAAGCACAGGCCTTTAGCTGCTACTCTGTGCTGCTCTGACCAGAGCTGAGCCAAGCCCAAGTTAACTCTAACAGGAAGCATTTCTGTATTTTTTCCAAACCTGTGAGTTGGTTGGGAGCAAGGTGGAAAGTCAGGAGGAGGTCAGTTCGTTGTGGGGGCTTATTGCCAACAGAGCAAGGGGCAAGACGTGGGGCTGGTAATAAGCTATAGAGGGATTCCTTTCCTCATTCCCAGGGCTCAGGGTCCCAGCTAGAGGCTCCAGGGATCCAAACTGAGAAGACGGGTGTGTGGGTTCTTAGCTGTAACTGGCTACCAGGTTCTCACTGAGGAAATGCCCAGCCTGCAGCCACTGCTCACCAGACACATTTGGCACTGGTCTGGCTTGGAAGACAGGTCAGTGGGCTGGCTGTAAAGCGACTGGGGACAATCATCCCATCTGGACTCATCATCTACCACTATGGCTCCAACTTCCCATCCTGGACCCCTGACCCCTTGCCACAATGTCTCCCGTAGTCCACAGGTCATCCTGAAAGTCTCAGCTACATGCTGTATGGGGGCCCACATACTTTGGTCACTGACTCTCCCAGACTGCCAGCTTGGTGGCCTTGCTTTGCCCTGGCCATTGGCAGGGCTGCTTTGTCCTGCAGTAAAAGCATAGTGAGTGTGGAATCTTCAGGGGAATGGAAGGAACCTAGCACAGGTCAGGAGCTGGGGATAGCCTGCCCTGGAGTTTGATCCTGCTCTCCAACTGGCTCCCTGAGGAATCATGGCAGGGGCCTACCCTACTCCAGGCCTCATTCATTTGTTCATTCTTTCTTTCAACAGATATTCATTAAAGACCTGCACTACCCTAGGCACCGGGGGAACAGCGGGAACAGGACCATCCTGGCCCCAGCTGCATCCATTGACATTGCACCAGAGGCCATGGAAGTCCTTCAGCTGGGTGTATGTGGGCTCCATGTTCTGGGAATGAAGTGTCTGCTTCCTGCACTGAGTTACCTTGCAGCGTCTGTGTTGGGGCCCCTGAAAGCCTCCTCGCCAGCCAAGTCCCTCTGGAACTCTCTGGAGCAGGGGGCCTCCTTGTCTTTGTGGCCTGGGGAAGACCTATGGAGGAAATAAATGGAAGTTAACGATGCAGCAGCCATTCACACTCAGGTGTGGGCTGTTACCTCATCCTCAAATGCCAGCTGTCTGCACGGAGCTTAAAACCTGCTACTGGGCTGGGTGCAATGGCTCACGCCTATAACCCAGCATTTTCAGAGGCCGAGGCAAGAGGATCACTTGAGCCGAGGAGTTCAAGACCAGCGTGAGAAACATAGCTAGACTCCATCTCCACAAAAATATTTTTGAAAGTCAGAAGTGGTGGTGTGTGCCTGTGGCCCCAGCTACTTGGGAGGTTGAACCTGAAACGTTTGTTGTTAAAAAACAAAACCACAAACAAACCCTGCTGATTGACAGATTGGCTAATTCTCAAAACTTCATTAGTAATAGCTACTGTGTTTTGGGTTTGTTTTTGTTGTTGTTGTTGTTGTCGTTGTTATTGTTTTATAGCTACTGTGCTGGGATTACAGGCGTGAGCCACTGCGCCTGGCAATAGCTACTGTTGATTGAGCATTTGAGCCTGTTCTCATGACTTTATATACATTAACTCTGCAAATCAACCCCAGGATATGGGCACTGTTATCACCCATGCCCATCTTTCAGATGAGCAAACAGAGGCACACAAAGCCCATGTGATTTGCCCCAAATTTCACAGGTAATAAGAGGAGTAGCTGAGATTCGAATCCAGGCAGTCTGACTTCAGAGTTCTGGACTATATCCCTTTATGGTGTAAGACTGATCCTAATCTCCTAATTTAAGCCCCCTTCTGTTCTCCTTCAGGTCATCAGGGAGCCCCATGTTGTCAGCTCCAGGAGAGACAGTCCCATCATTATTTCAAACCACCATTCAGTACTGCTGACCCAGTGGGCCACTCCAGCCTCCTCCCTTGACCCTGTCAACACGACCTGCCTACCTCCCTGGCCACACACCTTCCTGGTCTCTGCCTTTTTCTCCTCCCCTTCACGTGCTCCACCACCTGCTGGGCTGTCTCCTCCCCTCCCAAAGCGTCAACTGCCACCCTTGAAGCAGTGATCTCCACTTGTTCCCGCCTCTCCTCTGTACTGGCCTGCACACCCACTACCTCCCAACTGGCCCTCAGGAGGCTCACTCTCAACATGGTGAGAAGTGACTGCCCTTACCCAGCTGTCCCCAGGAGGGCTGGCCAGGTGGCTGCCACTTGCATGGTGAGGTCAGTGCCCAGCTTCCGCTGGCTCGCCATGAGCCCCATGTGAAGCTAGTTTACGCTCATGATTTCAGCTCTATTCTGTCTGCATATAACGTGGAAAGCTCTTTAGCCCTGATCACTCTCTCAAACCTCAATCACAAACCTTCAAATACCTCCCTCCTGGCAATTTTGACTTCAATGCCTACGAATATACTCAGCAAATGAGTTCACTCAGCAAATGCCAACTCTTTCAATCACCCCTCTCCGTCCCCCTGCTCCCTGCCCCGACTAGCACAATGAGCTATGGTGCAGAAGGTGGAAGGTGGGAGTAGGGCAGGCTGGGCGGATCTGCGTGCTCTGGACCATGTGACCTTGAGCAAGTTACTTAACCATTCAGGGTCTCAGTTTCTTAATCTGTAAAATGAGCATAGTGATTGTATCTACATCCATGCAGAATGGATGCTGCCATGCAGAACCAACAAGCCCCTCAGATGCTGCCTGGGAAAGAAACTCAGGAGAACGAGGTGACCCAGAAGAGAGGACATTTCAGGTGGAACAGAAAAATGAAGAGGGGAAAGGGCATCTCAGGCAGAGCCTCCAGCCTGCACAGAGAAAGGCCCAGGGAGGGAGGAGCCTGCAGGTGGGGCCAGGTACTGAGTTCAGGCTGCAGAGCATAGTGGGAGGGGCTTTGCAGGGCTTTGTGCAGAGAGCTGGCATAACTACTTCTGCCCTTTGAAAACATCACCCAGGTAGATGTGGAAGGGAGTCCAGGGATGGGATAGTAGGAAACGGCTGCAGACAACTGGGTGAGTGGCAGTGGAGGCCTGAGCCAGGGGCAGAGCAATAGGGATGGAAACATCTCTAAAATAAAATGGGCAGGACTTGGTGCCTTGGGGGCAGAATTAAAAGTGGGAGGAGCCAAGGAGGAGAGTAAAGGGACCTAGAGATCACTCAGGACTCATCTTGGGTGTCACTTCCTCCAGGAAGCTCTCCTCAAGCACTCCCACCCACGACACTGTTGAGAGGCCTCTGCTCAAAGTTCCTGCCACCCCAGGGATGAAGGGATGACCTTCAGTGTACACTCCCGCTTCTCTCCCCAGTCTCTGGCCTTCATAAGGTAAGGGGCCCAGTCTCCCTGCTTGGATCTCTCCTAGCCTCCACCCCAGCCCCTGAATCCTGCCTGCATGTCACCTGGCTGTCTGTCCTCCACCCCAGGGCAGGGGCTGAGCCCCTCGTGCTCCCTGCTGGTTGTGGCCTCCTTGACCCACCCCTCCCCAGCACAGAGCCTAGTGGCCTGGAGAGCTGTGGACTCTGACCACAGCAAGGGCCCTTCTGGGTAGAAATGAAACCTCCCAACCCGTGTTTCTACCAACCATTTGCAGGGGCAGCCCCAGCCTGTGGCCCCACCAGGGCATCCAAAGTGGCCGTTTGTGAGGCCAGGAGTCATTCTGCATTCATGGGCTGGTAGGGACTGAGGGGTATAAGAGACTGAGAAAACCCACAGACCAAATTTGGAATGAAAACCAGTGGGAGGGGATGTCACAGACTCAGGGGTGAGGACAAAGGGCCCCTTTGAGCTTTCCTCTTGCCAGCCATGCTCAGAGCCCTCCCCCAGGTGACCACAGGCCACCCCAGACACACATCCCTCCAAATCTGATGCATTCGCTGGCTGTACTGCAAGGCATGACGCCCAGCAGGTTTGGCCATGGTGTGGCCAGGGCCAGAGAGAATATAGAGCTCTCAGGCTTTGTGGGGGTGGACCCTTCACCCCAAACTAGACCTCCTCAGGTCCATGGAGCAAAGCCTAGTTCCAAGCCACATTGCAGTCAGTCCTGCCTTTGACTGTCCCTGGGCACTGGAAGTGCAGACAAGCTTGAGTCCCAGGCCTGCCCTGGTGAAGCTCTGGGCCCAGCAAAGTTAGACGGGGGCAGAGAGGCATGGAAACTGACCTTGCTGTGCTGTAGGGCCCAGAACAGGTTTCGCCATGGGAGCAGTGGACAAGCTTTATGGAGGCATAGCCTGACCCAGGCCAGCTGAAGGGAGATCAGGGGAAGAGGAGGAGGTAGAGGCTGGCAGGGGTCCTGAATGTACAGACTAGATCTGGTATGGCAAAGGGAAGACGCAGGATGGGCTTGAAGTGGAGTGGGGGGTTTATAGGATCAGACTGGAACTTTAAAGAAGCCAGTCAGGGGTCCCAGGAGGGGTAGGGTTTGGCGTGGCCAAGGTGAAAGTGAGGAATGAGCCATGGAGGGCTGGGTCAGCGGGCTGCTCATCTCTGTCCCTCCACTTCCACCCTGGTCAGGGCCTGGAGCGCTCAAAGTGACCAGACGGAAATGGAAGGGCTACCAAGGACAAGGCCTCTCCCATCAGGAAAGCCAGGAGGGGCCCTACACACACAGACAGCTCTGACTTCTCCCCATCTCCTCTCGTGATAACGATGATGACATCGTTGTTGAGGATGATGTCATTTATGATGACAGTATAAAACCCCTGGCTGCCTCATTTAAAGCAGGTGGTGCCAGGGAACCGGGATGTCACAGGTAAGCACAACATATTTTCTCACTGGCGTTTCTGGCTCTGTCAGAGAGGAAATGGGAACAAAGTGTCACCCCAGCCTGCTCCAGTGACTGATGTCAGACTAGGGGAATTTGGACAGATACAGAAGGAAGATGGCTGTGCGAAGACAGAGGCCGAGATGGGAGTGAGGTGGGCGCAAGCCAGGAAACACCAAGGATCGTGGGCAACAAAAGGTAAGAGAGAGGCATGGAACAGATTTTGCCCCAGAGCCTTTGGAGGAAACATGGCCTTTCCAACACCTTGATCTGACTTCCAGCCTCCAGAATTGTGAGAGGATAAATGCCTGTGGTTTTAAGCCACTCGGTTTCTAGTACCTTGTTACAGCAGCTCCAGTAAACTAATACAGGGGTCTCTCCTCCCCTGCAACTCGCTACCCCACCACCTCCCCAGACTCCCAACCACAGACACCTCTAGTCCAATCTGAAGTCCAGGACCATGCTGGAAGGCTGCACACCCTTGGAAGGCACTCAAGGAAGAGAGGCAGGCATCTGCTGAAGCCTGAGGCCCAAAACGGATCACAGCTACCTGTGGGAATGTGAGCAACTGTGGCCTGTGCCAAACAGTGTGTGACTCATCCCGCCAAAGAATGAGGAGGCGGGGATGTGGGGCGGGGGTATACTACCTTTTCACTGCCTTTGGCCGCATTTCCCTCAAATGCCGGCAGGTGGAGATATTGATCTCTTCCTGTATTTGAATAAGGGTCCTGCAGTTCAGCACGCCCCAGAGCACACCCCAGAGGATACCAGCACCCAGGCACTGTGGTAAGTACTTCAGGTGCATTATCTCATTTAGTATTTGAGACAGCCTTGGGAAGTAGCTATTACTGCTCTCCCTATTTTACCCACGGGAAAACTGACGCACGGAGAGATGAAGAGACTTGTTCAAGGTCACACAGTCAGTTCGATGCAAAGCCAGGGTTTTGTCCCGTGCCAGGCAGCATGCTGGGTGGAGCCTAGGACCAGGACCCAGGAGGCCCTGCCCTGGTCAGGTGAGGCAAACTTGACCAGAGCTGCGGGTAAAGCAGCCAGGTCTGGGGCTGTCGAGAAGGGGTGCTCCAAGAGAGGGTCCCTAAACTGTGTGCAGGTTGCAAGGGGGGCAAGAGTTATGAGGAGCTGACCTTTGCACTGTAGTTAAGGGAGACAGGGCAGGGCAGGGAGTGGGGAGAGGATAGCCTCGATGGGTCTGTGCCTGGGACAAGGCTGTGACATTCTCCTCTTCCACTCTGCCACAAACCAGCCTTTTCTGAGATGCTGCAGGACCCTGAGTTTGGTTGAGTCATTGCTCCTCACGGGCTGGGCTTCTCAGACACCAGGCAGATAGGAGCTGGGCCTGGGAGTACTGATGGTGGCTGCCTGGTCCAGTGCAGCACCTAATGGGGTAGGGTCAGAGAAGACGGCCCTCCAGGGTCAGGATCAGCCAGCAGCTTTCCTGGAAGCTGCCTGGGTGAGCTCCAAATATTGAGAGACCAGAATTGGAGGAAAGAACTATCAGAAGCATTAAGCTGAGCCTCCTGTTGGGAGCTTGCCCCGGACCCTGAATCTCTAGCCTTTATTTGTTATGGCAGCCTGAGCAAACTTAAAAAGCCACCTTGCAATGACAACCATATGATGGGTATTAAACATCCAAAGGAATTTTTTGGAATAAATGTCAAAGTGCCTCTTAAATCTATAATACAGCACAGTCTAATTCTCCTCCATTATCTCTCTCTTTTTCTTCTTGTTTTACAGACAGGGTCTTGCTCTGTCACCCAGGCTAGAATGTAAGGGTGCAGTCACAGCTCATTGCAGCCTCAAACTCCTGGGCTCAGGCAGTCCTACCACCTCAGCCTCCCAAGTAGCTGGGGCTACAGGTGTACATCAATGCTCCCAACTAATTTGTAATTTTTTTTTTTTTTTTTTGGTAGAGATGGGGTCTTGCTAGGCTACCTAGGCTGGTCTCAAACTCCTGGCTTCAAGCCATCCTCCTGCCTTGGCCTCCCAAAGTGCTGGGATTACAGGCATGAGCCACCATGCCCAGCCTCCTATATTGTCTTCTAACAGGCACCTGAGGCCGAGCGTGGTGGCTCATGCCTGTAATCCCAGCACTTTGGGAGGCCAAGGCGGGCAGATTACGAGGTCAGGAGTTTGAGACCAGCCTGGCCAATATGGTGAAACCCCGTCTCTACTAAAAATGCAAAAATTAGCCAGGCATGGTGGCATACACCTGTAGTCCAAGTTACTCAGGAGGCTGAGGCAGAAGAACCGCTTGAACCCGGGAGGCGGAGGTTGCAGTGAGCAGAGATCACGCCACTGTACTTGAGCCTGGGCGACAGAGCGAGACTCCATCTCAAAAACAAACAAAACAAACAAACAAAAAGGCACCTGAATCCATTTATTGCCTTTCTTTAACAGAGAAATAAGGAGAAACGAGAACTGTATATTGTTATGGGCTGACTTGTGCCACCCAAAATTCATATGTTGAGGTCTTAACCCCCAGGACCTCAGAATGTTACTGCATTTGGAGACGGGGCCTTTAAAGAAGTGGGTGGGCCCTAATCCAATTGGACCAATGTCCTTATAAGAAGTGATTAGGGTCTGGGCGCGGTGGCTCATGCCTGCAATCCCAGCACTTTGGGAGGCCAAGACAGGATCATTTGAGTCCTAGAGTTCCAGACCAGTCTGGGCAACATGGTGAAACTCTGTCTCTACAAAAAATAAAAAAAATTAAAAAACAAAACAAAACAAAAACTAGCTGGTTATGGTGGCATGTGCCTATAGCCCCAGCTACTCAGGAGGCTAAGGCTGGAGGATCTCTTGAGCCTGGGAGGTCGAGACTGCAGTGAGTGGTGACTGTGCCACTGCACTCCAGCCTGGGTGACAGAGTGAGACTCTGTCTCAAAAAACGAGAAGTAATTAGGATGCAGGCATACACAGACAAGGATGAGCACATAAGGACCCAGGGAGAAGATGGAGTCTACCAGTCAAGGAGAGAGACTCAAGAGGAACCAATCACCTTGATCTCAGACTTCTAACCTCCAGAAGTGGGAGATGATAAATTTCTGTGGTTTAAGCCCCCCAGTGTGTGGTATAATACTTTGCTGTGGCAGCCTTTGCCCCCATATCCCTCAATTGCCAAGTTCCCTAGATCAGGGGTCCCCAACCCCGGCCTGAGGACCAGTACCAGTCCGTGGCCTGCTGGGAACCAGGCTGCACAGTAGGAGGTAAGCTAGCGATCATTACTGCCTTAGCGCCGCCTGCTGTCAGATCAGCAGATTCTCATAAGAGCACGAACCGTATTGTGAACTGCACATGTGAGAGATCTAGACTGTGCACTCCTTATGAGAATCCAATGCCTGATGATGATGAAGGTGGATTCTGAGGTGGAACAGTTTCATCCTGAAACCATCCCCTGCCCCGTCCCGTGGAAAAATGGTCTTTCACGAAACCAATCCCTGGTGCCAAAAAGACTGGGGACCTCTGCCCTAGATATTGCCTTGTAAAGAAATCTCAAATCTTCTTTTCCACATTTTCTAAGGTTCTTATGGACCAAAGTTCTTATGGGGAGAGTCAGACAACTGAGAAAATCAAGAGACGGAGAGAGTGAAAAGGAGGAGCACCCTAGCAGTCTGCTGCCTGGGGCCATGGAGAGACCTGGCCTCATGCTCCTGGCTCCCTCTGTCAGTGTTTCTGTCTCCCTCGCAGCACCGAGGAAGTAACCCTGAGGACATTGGTCACCTGTCTATAAATGGCTGTGGAGCTCAAATTGGGGGATTGCTATGGTATTAGGAGAGCCTGAACAGCCCTTGGGGGCCTGGGAAGTGACCTGTAGGGACAGGCCCTCTCTCCTTCTGGATGCAGGGGTCTTCCAAGGGTGCTACAGAGATGCAGCTCTTAGGAGACCTAGATTTGAGCAAAGGTCTCAATCCAGCAGGCACTTTAAACAGCAGCGACAACAGAGTGGTGGCTCTCCCTGCAGGACTGGTAGCACCATTCTGCACAAAGTACAGGAAGGTATTAGTTGTCCACAGACAAGAGAGCACCATTATCTGCCCAGATTCTCAGGGATCAGAAATCAGGACAAATCACGGCCCTTCCTGGAGTGAGATCACCAGCACTCAGCCTGTCCTTGCCCCATCATCCCACTGCCACACCCTCTCCAGCTGGCAGAACCAGCCAGCCAGGCTGGCGGGAAGCCATCACACCCGCTCACAAGCCAGAGTCAGCTCTCGGCACCCACCTGAGCTCCTGGCTCCCACCAGGGCTAGGCGTACTCGGCAGGCACCCGATCCAAATTGCCTGAGACGCTTTGGTCCTGCCTTCATCCGCACTGGCAAAGAAGGTGGCTGTGAGAGGCTCTGGAGATGTCAGAGCCTCCTCCCTGGGCATGCTGAACATGGCTAACTTATTGGAGTGCAAGGAGCAATTCTGACAATGGCAGGCTACTGCCATGGTGGCTGGCCCTCTCAAACCCCAAGGATGGTACTTTTTCTTGGGGTGTTCAAGTTGCCACCAGGCTCAGTGGTGCAAGGGTTAAGGTGACACAGATACATACTCAACAGACCAGAGCCAGGTGCTCTCTCCCGGGAGGCTGGACTGTTTTGCTCCTTTCAGCCCTGGGACATCCAGCCAGATGGGCCCTTACTGATTTCTTTGTCCCATCTTGTCACTGGGCACATAGAGACACTGATCTCTAAGCCCAGCATGGAGGTGCCCTGACTGAGGTTCCTTAGTGACTGAGTGGCAGGTGTAGCAGCCACCAGCCCTAGGCAGAGATGAGCGCAATGGATTACCTGTTTGGGCCAGGAGTGGATCTTGCCAGAGCAGATGGGTCCTGGCTCTTCTCAGAAGGCCCGTCCTCTTCCACCACCTCCACCCTTTGAGCAAGAAGAGAAATGGTGCTCGTGGTCTTCTTGGCTGCCCTGGAGCTTGCAGGCCTTGAAGGACATGCTTCCAGTGGTGTCTAACTGGCCCAACCCTTCAGGATCACGGCCAAGAGGTGGCCCAGGCTGGGGGTTCAGTGATTCCAGCTCAGGATAAGGACAGCATACTGGCTTGAATAGTGTCCCCCCAAAATTCGTGTCCCCTGGAACCTGTGACTGTAACCTTATTTGGAAATAGGGTGTTTGCAGATGTAATCAGGTAAGATGAGGTCATACTGGAATAGGATGGGTCCTAAATCCAATGACCGCTGTCCTTGTAAGAAGAGGGAAATCTGGACACAGACACACAGGGAAGAGAAGGCCATGTGAAGACAGAGGCACAGACTGGAGTGATGCAGGTACAAGCCAAGGAACGCCAAGGATCGCAACCACCACCAGAAGCCAGGAGAGTGGCCTGGGACGGTTTCTCCCTCAGAGCCTCCAGAAGGAACCCACCCTGCTAACACCTTGATCTGGACTTCTGGTCTCCAGAACCGGGAGATAAGTCTTTTCTGGTTTTTTAAGCTGCTCAGTTTGTGGTACTGCGTTACAGAAACCACAGGAACCAAATGGAACCAGGAAGACCCCCGCCATTCTCTGTCACTTCCTTTGTGCTGCCCCCATCCCTGCTCTCTGTATTCCTGCCAACCTTCCGGTCTTCCAACACAGCAAGCTAGTCCCACCCCGGGCCTGGGCACCATGGGGCCCTCTGCCTGGGGCAATTGGCATGCTGTCTTCTCTTGGGTTTTCAGTCCCCAGCTAGCCACCTCAGCATGGCGAGAGGCCTTCCCTGTCCACTCAACTGGAAGTCCCTCAAATTCAACTTTCCAGAATTTTCTTTCCTGCTTTCCCCCGAATATTTCCTCCTCCAGAAGGTGCCCTGTCTCAACTAATGGTGACACCCCTCCCTCAGTCAGCTGGAGTGTCCTGACGTTCTGATCATTCCCTATTAAGCCCTGTTCATCCTTTAGGGCCCATCTCCAATGTCACAGTCACCTCCCAGGAGAAGTTTTCCTGATGGCCCAGGTTTTGATCCTGCGTGACAGCAGAAGGCAAGGCAAGAGGCAAGCAACAGGGGCAGGGGAACAACTCCCAGAGGGCCTTGGAAATGCTCCATCTTGGGTCAGGGACCCAGCCCCATTAGCCATTGGCAAATGGAAGAGCTTGACCACATATGCTACCACAGCCTCCAGACAGAAGCCCCCAGCCCCTCACAACTTCCCCTGCTCAGGGACAGTAGCCCCCACATCCACATCCCCTCTCCACAGCTCCCACATTACACCCCAGCTGACGGAAAGCCTTCCTGTGGCCAGTAACAGGCTTCCAAGGTGTCTCTTGATGAGACTTACCTCTTCGCAATAAACGGCGCCTGTGTCTCCTGGGTAGGACTGCTTGAAACGAAAGAGAAAGGCAAAGCTTTGGGCAGAGCCCGTGGGCGGGTGACATCAAGACTGCTCTACCCCAGGGGGTCCTGGGTCCTCTCCCATTCCCGGCACTTCACCTTCCCTGGTGGTAGCCGCCAAACCTCTCCATTTTCTAGAAAGTACATCTGAGAATCTGAGAAGGCTCAGCTAGGAAGGCCCTTGGGGGTGATCTCTCCACCCACCCTTTCATCAGCCAGAGAAGGCTGGAGCTCTGAGGAGAGGAGAGCTGTCCTGGAGCCTGGAGCCAGTTGGTGGCAACTCACCCAGTGCTCTTCTTGACTGCCGACAGGACGTAGGAGTGCTCCCGGGGAGCTGTTCTCCTCAGAACACTGCTTGCAGCCTCTGACCTGGGGTGACACGGGGTGGGGGAGCATCTGATGGGTGCCAAGCTGGACATGCTCTGCCAGCCTAGCCTGGGATGGACTCGGGATGACTCAGGGCCAGCCCAGGGAGGCAAGGTATGGGAGAAACCAGATTTGCACCTGCTCCAAGGACTATTCAAAGGAAATGTAGAAACTGAAGGAAGGGCAGCCCACGTTTATCAAGTGTGTGGCATGTGCCCGGCTCTGCACCAGATGCCAATGTCCTCGCATTGGTTTATTGCTCTTCTCAATCCAGGAAAGTAGGTGCTAGTATCCTCTGCGATTTACAGATGAGGAAACTGAGTCCAAGAAGCTTTCATTATTTGCCCAAGAGCACTCACCTAGCAGGTGGCAGTGCTGGCATTCAATGCTAGGCCACTCTTAGCTTCTGGCTCTTTTCCTTGCTCCACCCAGGCCTGGGGGCCCCTGCCACTGTGAACTATCCCGAGGACAGCCAATCTGCCAGGGCCTTTGGCAGTGGGGCTTTGCTGTGATTCCTGTGCCACAGATGGGTCAGCAGATACGGAACTGGTGGCTGGCTAAGCCCAGAGAGGGGAGGGCTTTATTTCCTCAGGGCCCAACTGCTGTACAGGCCCCAAGCCAAAGGCATACAAAAGGTGCTTAACAAACCCTGTCACAGTTCATCAGTGCTGGGTGGTGTGTGGTCAGTCCCCATAGACAAAGGACTGAGGAGGGGCAAGGGTCCATGGAACTTTGCTGGCCTGCGTGGATGAGGGCAACTTGGTGCAGAGACTGGGGTAGAATTTCAGCAGCATGGGGCACACTCCCACTGCTGTGCGTGCTTGGGGCTCAGTTTGGGGTCCAGGGGCATTCAGAACTGTGGAGTCAACCCCTGCCCCCAAGGCATGCAGATCATGCAGATAGAGGGTACTGGCTTCTCCCTGAATATTTTTGTCCAACTGTCTCAGGGCCCTTTCTAACAAACCGATTTAGAGCCCTGAAGAGCCTCCAAATGAGGTTTTTCCCTGGACACACAGTACGTGGGTTCTACCCCACAGAAGGTTCTCAAGGGCCCCTCAGCTGGCCCAACACTGAGTGGGTGGTTCTGGCACTAAAAGAATGACCCCTATTCTCATGCTCCATGGGCTACCGCTGATGGCCTACGTGTTGTGCATTTTGTCACCCCAACCAGTTCAATTCATTCCAGCAGTCTTCGAAGACTCAGGCTCCTGCCCTGCCCCCTGGGATGCCCAAAAGGCACCATTCTGTTACCTCCGCTTCTGTTCATCTGAGGAGAAAGGCACCTCCTCCTCCTCCTCGGTGTCCCCTGATGTAGAGCTGCGCCTGACATTGTAGGGTGCCCTAAGAGAGGGGAGAGGCACTTTTCTGTCATAGGCTGCCACCCTCAGCAGCTTGGCTTCCTGGCTTTCACCAACAGTGACAAGGCAAATCAGTATCTCTGCCTTTGGGCCTTAGTTCATGCCACTTGTTCCTCCTTGAGAGCCAGCTCTCCCCTCCCTGTGTGAGCCTCTCTCCTTCCCTAGAAAGGTTACCCAGATGCTCCCCATCCCTGGATGATGGAGGCAAGGGACAAACAACAGAAAGATGTGGTCCCCTGGGAACTAGAGGCACAATTCACACCTCTGTCCAGAGAACCCCCTCCCTGAGCATACAGTGGGAGTGGGGGGCTTTGAAAGGGACCCCAAGGGGAGCACGAAGGGGAACCCCAAAGGTTTCTATCCAAGAAGCAGCTCAGATTTAGGCACATGATGCTCAGACTGACAGCAGCACCCTGAGGATCCCCAGGCCCCCAGCCCAGCGCAGCCAGGCAGAGTACCTGAGGCTCGGCAGGGTGCAGGGCCAAGCCCAGGAAGCACAGCCAGCCAGCAGCAGCCTCACGACCCATGATCCTTTCCCCAGATCCGTGGGGCCCCTCCTACAAGCTTCCTGCAGTCCCTCCTCTGCCTCAGATTAGACGTGCAATATGCACTGCCATCCAGTTTTCTGGGACTTGTTACCCTCTGGTGGCTCCAGGCCACAGCTGCAACTGGCAGGGAGTGTCAGGCAGGCGGGACTTCCCGGGCTGCGCTCGGAGGCAAGTAGCCAGCTGCCTTCAGCGGACCCAGAGTTTGGACTTGTTCCTTGGAGGAGGGAACCACGGTGAGCCTGGTGTTGCATACTCACAGCTTCTTGTAATCCTCAGTGGTCATCTTGTAGCCAGAGGAGGAGGGGCGGGGAGGACCAGGGTTAGCTGTTCTCACCAGACTGGCAGCACTAGAGAGGAGAATGTTCCATGTATCTACCTGCAGGCTCTGTCCTGCCTCCAAATTTGGCCATACAGCCCAGTGGACACGTGATAGGTGGGCCAGGAACTGCCTGGGAGCCTTTCCTCTCTGCTTTTGGCCCTGACAGACACCCAGAACTGTGCTGCTCAGAACAGGGCAGCCCCTGCTGCATAGGCAAATCCCACCGAGCTTCAGGGAACAGCCCAGAGGGCTCTTGCCTGTGTCTTTGCTTCCTGTTTCCTGATCCCTTTGGCCTTTCCAGTCTGATGCAGCCCCAGGCAATGTCTGATGCCAAGGTGCTTGAATTGCATGCAACTTCAGCCTTCTCAATGCCATCAGCAAGTCAAGTCAAGGGTGCCCACTGCCAGGCTAGGGGGACTCTACACCCAGCCCCTCCCAAACTCCTGCACCTCTCTGTCCCAGTAGCCAGGACTAACCCCAGGACAAGGACACTGTTAGTGGCCCAGGACCTCCCAGAGACCCACACATCCACTTGGGACTGCCAGTCCCAACCCAACCCATCTCCTCTGGCCACCCCACCCTGCTCTCCAGGATCCTGCCCTACACAGGATGAGAACTGGCACCTCCAAGGCCCCACACTCCTGACAGGCAGAGCGCTCTCTTTGCCACGAGCCCAGACCAGGCCCTCACACCTCCCCACTGGCCGACTGGCCAGCACCCCATGGACACACCTTTTTGGAGTCCCGTTGGCCTTGGGGAACTGCTGCTGGGGCTGGGAAGAGCTGTCTATGGGCTTGGTGAACACTCCCCTAAAAGAGAGTCCAGGAGATGCTGGTGAGCTCCCTGGAGGGGCTGGAGGGGTAAGAAGTCAAGGGGTGGTACGAGTGGGCACAGGAAAGCCGGCAGAGTCCTGCGGTCACTTACCGGATGATGTAGCCAGTCGGAGCCCTTGTGCTCGGAGGCCTGCCAAAGGGAAGGAGGGGTGGAGTGAAGCGAGGTTTGCTGGAGGGCTCAGGTCATCCTACTTTATCCTGCCCTTAACTATAGCAAATAAGGTTGGCTGGCAAGTGCTACAGGTGTCCCAGTACAGCAGAAACGAGGGGTGCCAGCCCCCTGTGCCACCAGTCAGGTGCCTGCTCCACTCTGCCTGTTTCCTTCATGCTCCCCCAGGAAAAGAGCCCAAGGTGACTCCTCATGGCAGGTTGATGGCCTCTCCAAAGTCCAGCTTCTCCTTGGCCAACCGGGCCCCAGTGCTGCGCCGAGGGAGCGCTCCTCTCAGCTGACAGCCATCCCATCCTCTGTGCTTGGGGCTGAACCAGTGCAGGCTGGAGGCTCCCCAGTCAGAGCCAGAGGCTTCCCCTCAGCCCGGGGCCTGACCTGATCTCCCTCAACAGCCTCCACCAGGAAGGCGCATGAGGACTTGAGGGTGAGAGCCCAGGCAGCAGCCAACCAAAGCCAGTTGTCCCCCTTCCTGTCCCTCAGGGCCCTCTTTGCTCCAGCTCCTTGCATGCCCACACCCCAAGTCTTGGTGGAAGTTTGAGAGGAGAGGGCGTGGCCAGGGCTTGTTCAGTGGCTGGGATACATTAGGCTCCAGGTGTTTGAGACCTTCTGCTTGGCAGCAACTGAGGGTGCTCAGATAACTCAGGGGGCAGCTAAGGTGAGCAGGCAGGGAGCTGACAGCTGGGTGTGGTCGGCCTGTAAGTTCTGGCCTCGGGCAGGAGTTAAGGGCCCCTGCAAAGAGTCCGCCTCAGAGTTAGCGGAGGAGTCAAGGGGTCAGGGTAGACCCTTCTGTCCTGCAATGGATGGGATTTGGGCTGGAGCATCAGGGTTTGGGTCAAGGGCAACAGAGCCCCAGTAGTCTCCATCCCCACAATCTCCATCCCTAACAAGAGACAGCCTCCCAGAGGTGGCCATGTTGCAGGCACACATGGGGGTTCTCGCTCTTGTATTCAACTGTTTATTAGGGTCCTGCCTGAGTCCCCTGCTGGGATGTCAGTTTCCCGAAGACAGGGCCTTTGTCTTGGCCACTACTGCATCCTCTGTGCCCAGCATGGGACCTGGCAGGTAGTGGGAGCTGAGTCATTGAGGGGTGACAGAGAGACCGTAGTTACTAAAGGCAGCCCTGTGTGCCGGCTGTAAACTTGAGGCCTTCCCTTCCAGAGGCTGCCACTGCCTCTACCACCCCCTGAGAAGCCACCTGTCAGCTGTTTGGAGCAAGAAGCAAGCCTGAATTTCAGTTCCCTTTCTCTGTCAGGAGCAGTTCCTCCAGATGCCAGCAGGGTGTGCCTACGCTTCAGAGCCCCTCTGAACACTGTTGTGGAAAAGTCCCCAAAAGAGACAGAAGCCAGTTCTCCTTGGTCAGCTGACAAAATATGTCACGATAAACTTGGGAGACAGTCAGAGCAAACTCATGCCTCTCTACAGGCATGCCAAGTCCCAAGTACACTCAAGCAGTCAGGGCGACCTGCAGGAGTGAGTCACTGTGACTCTGGAAGCTGCCCAAAGCATCTCAGAGGCAGTCTCACTCCCTGCAGGGAATGAGTGGGAGGTCAGAATAATCGTCTTCTTAAAGACAACTTCAATCCCAGTTAACAGCTGGAGCCATGGAGGCCCAGCAGGGAAGTCAGCTGCCCCACAGCCACACAGCAAGGCCAAGGGCCTGGACCAAGTGACTCCTACACTCCCCTTCCTGCAGATTTCAAATTACTCATTGCAGACCCTTGGCTGGGGCTGCATCCCTGTCCCCTGTGGACTGCCCACCCCTCCCTGTTGAGGGCTGACCCCAAGCTGCAGGAGAGTCCCTGGGGCTGACCCACCAGCCACCTGAGCACCACCTCTTACCTGGGCTTCGGAACCTCCCCAGCTGATGAAAAGGATGTGGCACGACTCCGACCTGAGGGCAGCTCTCTGGGGGAAAGAGGCATCCTGAAAGAGTGGCTCCAAGACTCCCTGCCACCTGCCACCCTGTGGCCTCCACCCTAGAGGCTGCCCAGCTAGTCTTGCCATTTGTGCCTCATATTCTCCTTCCCAGGCAACCAGGGGCCCTCCCACCCTGTGACATTGCTGGATAGCCTTTCCCATGCTCTGTCCTCTACATGGCCTGGTGGAGCTCTGAACGGTGGAAGCCCCTTTGCATCCCCAGGTATGGTCAGACCCCCACGGATTGCACGCCCCCACGTTGCTGCGGTCCCTCCCGGCCTCCTTGCTTTACATGGTGCGACCCTCCGATTCATCCTGCTTGGTGATCCAGCTCTTGTCCCCCTTCAGCGTGGTTCGCACTTTCATCTGCTTGAGGACGTTATTGCGCTCCTCCTCACCTGATGGCAGAGGCTTCCCTGTGGTAGGAAAAGCCAACAGCCTCAAAAGAGGAACGCAGCCCCGGGACCCTCGGCCTCCGTTCCAGTCCTCCCAGTATGCTGCTCTCCCTTTGCTGCTGGGACAGTGCTTGCGGCCTGTAGGGGCAGGCTTGGAAGAAAACAGCCCCAAGCAGAGCCCGGGACACCAGGGAGCCCAGGCCTCACCTTTGGTGCTGCCTCCAAGAGCTGAGATACTCATGGTGATTGCTCCGCAGGTCTCTTCTCAGTTGATTCAGCAGGGCTTCTGGGGATAAAGGCAAGCAAATGCTGTCACTTCATTTGTAGTGTCTTGCAGGTGACCATATGTGTCCTGGTACATCAAGATCATCCAGACTGCCCTCTGCACATTGGGGGTGGCAAGCGTTGGTGGAGTGCTAAGTATGGGCAGAAGCCAGGGGCAAGCACTCACTGTACCTGCTGCTGCCCAGCGGCACACCCACCTGCCTGCCCAGGGCTGCTCACGTAGAGAATGTGGAGCTCAGGGGCTGCCAGGGACTGTCTGTTCAAAGCGATCACTGATAACAGAACATGAACCCTCCTACAAAGTGCTAATGGCCTGGCTCAGGCTGGGGGAGTGTCGGGGAGACAGCTGGCACCGGTGGACTCAAGAGGGTAGGACAGAGTGCGTCTAAAGCCGAACAGCTTCAGGGCAGGCAGATGGCCTGTTGGGAGGGATGGGCAAGGGGACCAGCTGCTTTGGGGTTGGACCTTGCCTCTCACCCCTTAGGAGTTTTCTGGCAGACCTTGGGCAGCTCAGCTAACCTCTCTGAGCTGCCTCAGTTTCATCATTTGTAAAATGATAATTAAAAAAAAATTCTACCTTTCAGGACAGGACTGCTGTGAGGATGGAATGCGCCAATGTTCCTATAAGTACCTGGCACCACCTGAACAGGAGCCAAGCAGCAGTAGCTCTCAAGTCATCTGCTAGGAGAGGCGCGGTGGGTGGTCCTCAAACAGCACAAGAATGGTCTGGGGTGTGCAGCCCTGTTTCCTTCAGGGGTTGGCTCCACCTTCAGTGGGGAAAGCCCAGGGCCCCACTGCCAAATCCTAGTGGCCCTCAGGGACCAGGCGAGTGTGGCATTGTGGTAAGGGCTTCCTTACGCCCCTCGCCCACAGCTGCCTCGAGCTCTGCTTCCTCTTCCTCTGTGTATTCTCGCCCTGCTCTGACCCCTGAGCCCGATGCTGCTCATGCTGCCCAGAATGTGCCACACTGCCTACAGCCTCTCTGCCCTTGAGCCAAGTGCTGCCCTCTCATGCCCATGAAGGGTTAGCTGTGGTGGTCTCAAGGGCTATTTGCTCCGGAGGAGGGTCCAGGGTGATGAAGCTGGCTCTCCAGGCTGGGAGCCCTGAGTGGCCACAGCCGACCCCTTGGGCCTCAAAAGAGAGACTGGGGACTCAGGCCTGTGGGCATGACAGGAAGTAGGGCCCTGGCTGTGCTGGCATAGTCACAAGGCAGAAGAGCCTTTCTCTCCAGGGTCTTCCATCCCCTGGGCCCCTCCAGGGCTAGGGTCTGACCAGCTCAGCATTGCTGCCAGCTGGCGGGGCCTGGACGTGTTTCTGTGGAGGTCAGGGGAACAGTCAAATGGGCAGGGCAGGGGGACGAGAGCAAACCAAATTCGCCACATCAGCAGGAGCCGGCTGTTCCATAAACTGCACTGAATGAGCAGCCCAGACAGCCCGAGCCTGCTGTGTGCCAGGAATGGCACCTCATCACTGCAAATGGGAGCCCCACATGCCCAGCCCTGAACCAAAGCTGCCAGGTTAGACTTCTGTTGAGTGGAGCTCACTCCACAGGTGATCCTAGGGCCATACAGGCCCAACTGTCCCCATCCCAGCAGTCTGTGGAGTGGCCCCATGGGCAGGGCACATGGGCAGAGTCTCTGGGTGCCACTGACTGACTACAGACCTTAGGAGAGTTCCTCATTTCATCTGGGCCTCAGCTTTTCACGTGCAGGAGGACCTCCTAGTCTTTCGTCTTTAGGTTCCTTCTAACCTTGCTAGGCTGTACCAGCTAGTATGACTTATTTTGTGCCGGGCACCTCAAAGACATACTCCTTTCTAAGGCCTCAGGGACTGCAGCCACCAGCTTCCACATATGAATGTGGCAAGCAGGTGACAGTCATCCACAGTTTGGGGAGTGGACTCCATCCCAGGCCCAGTACTAGGCACAAGGACTCATCAGTTACCCCTTGTCAAACCTGATGGCCACATTGCCTAGAAGTTTCCTGACAAATCAGGACCAAATAAGCCACTTCCAAAGTCAAGACAGACACTATTGCACATGCAGAATGACAGAGGCAAAGGGTCCCATGGCAATCGAGGACAGGGCTGGGTGGGAACACCATCGGTCCCCTGCAGAGGGTGCCATGCTGCCTTCAGTCCCGTCTTTATAGCTGAGACTCCATTCAGAAGACTCCAGGTTTATTGCCAGGCAAAGACCTGGGCTGGTGCTTCTTCATGGGCTCCTTTCCCTCACACCTGGCTGAGTCTCACAACTGAAATTTCCTTTTTGATGAGACAATAAATATGAAAGAGTTAGAAAAATCTCCGCCAAGGTAGAGTCTTTCCATACGATGAAGTGTAAGGCAGTTCTTTGGGACAAGGAGTCTTCAAAGTGATGATGAGGCAGTGGGATGGGATGGGATGTGTTGGATGGGATGGATGGGATGGGATGGTTGGGAGGGGATGGGATGGATGGGATGGATGGGATGGATGGGATGGGATGGGATGGAATGGATGGGATGGGATGGGATGGGATGGGATGGGATGGGATGGGATAGGATGGGATGTGGTGGGATGGATGGGAGAGGGTGGGGATGGGATGGGATGGGATGGGATGGATGGGATGGGATGGGATGTGGTGGGATGGGATGGGAGGGATGGGATGGGATGGGATGGGATGGATGGGATGGGATGGAATGGGATGGATGGATGGGATAGGATGGATGGATAGAATGGGATGGGATGGGATGGGATGGGATGGGATGGGATGGAGGGATGGGATGGGATGGATGGGATGGGATGGGATGGATGGATGGGATGGGATGGGATGGGATAGGATGGGATGAGATGGATGGGGATGGGATGGATCAGTGGATACGATGGATGCAGGTGGATGGATGCAGGATGGAATGGATGAATGGGATGGATGGAATGGGATGGATGGGATGGGATGAATGGGATGGGATGGGATGGATGGGATGGGTTGAATGGGATGGATGGAATGGGGATGGATAGGATGGGATGGATGGGATGGGATGGATGGGATGGGATGGGATGGGATGGGATGGGATGGGATGGGATGGGATGGGGTGGGGTGGGGTGGGCAAATGGGTTGGATCTTGTCCCATCTGCTGAGCTGGCTTCTCCTCATTTGTCTGGTCTAGGCCACAGTCCTTGTGACCTCCTCCTGAGTCCTGGCCTGCTGCCTTTATCTCACCGCCTCTTACCAGAGCACAACACTCATTGGTCTCTAATCCCACTTGGCTTACACCAGCCTTCAATTCTCAGTCAGCACCGGACAGTTCCCCACTGTTCACAGACCAGGGAGCAAAATCACCAGTCCCTAGGTAAGCCTCTTTTCCCCCAATGCCGACACTGTACTCCAAGCAGACCATGCCTTGGGAGTCCCTATGGAAAATGCAACCCTGCCAGGTGAATGCCTGTCTGCCTTGGCTCATGCTAGTCCACCCAGCTGAAATGCCCTTCAACTCCTGTGGCCCAGCCCTGCTTCTCCCTCGGGGCCCAGCATGTGAGGCCAGCCCTGCTCCTACTGGCGCTCCTCTAACTCCAACAGCCAGGCACAGACCCTGCAGACCCAAGTCTTCCCAGACAAGTCCTGCTCCTTCCCCATCCTCCCAGCAAGGATCCAGGTCCAGGCACCCCCGTGACAGCCCAGCACACCCCACAGGAGTGACTGCCTGAAGCCACCGACCCCTGCTGGGACCTAGGTCTCCTCCCAGACCCCCACCCCTCCCCTTGTCCAGCCCTTCACAGACAGCAGGGCAGAGTGGCCCTGCACTCAGTGACAGCCAGGAAGACCCTTGCTACAGATGTAAGCAGCCTTGGAGGATGGAATGCTGGACTCAGAAGTGGCTTCCTGGTGGCTCTTGTGGGAAGGGAAAGCAGGAATCTTTCGACAGGTTGAGTTTCTGTATGTATCAAAAGGAAGCAGGGCAGGCCCCGCGCTGGTGCGTTCCCCACAGCCAAGTAGCCTGAGAGGAATTGCCTGAGTACAACAAAGAAAGTATATGAGACAGGTGTCATCACAGTGTTGAGTATGATGGTGAAAATGTGGCAATAATCTTAACACCATCAGTCATAGTTAAACATATTATAGTCTATCCATTCCGGTAAATGCACTGTGCAGTTATTACCGATGTTATGCACTGAGACGTATGGCATTATTTAACATTGGCACGTAAAGCCTGTGCTGTGTAGCTTCTATGCACATCACTCGGTAAAGCAGCCTGTATAAGCAGGATGTGTATGATAGTGTCATCTGTCAAATTATATTACATAAGAATGTACAGGAAAAATTTGCAAAGATATGCAAAATATTTTGCTCTTTCGTATATTTCTAATTTTCCTGTCTTGAACGATGTATCTTCTGTGTACTAAAGATGGGACCAACAGTGGTTACCCAGTATAGAGTGGAATTAGAGTGTGTGGGCGACCAGGATTAGTCTCAGAGTTGATGGGGCCGGACGTGGTGGCTCACGCCTGTAATCCCAGCATTGTGGGAGGCCAAGGTGGGTGGATCACCTGAGATCAGGAGTTCAAGACCAGCCCTAGCCAACATGGGAAACTCATCTCTACTAAAAATACAAAATTAACCAGGCATGGTGGCATTACTTTATAATCCCAGCTACTTAGGAGGCTGAGGTGGGAGAATCACTTGGACCTGGGAGGCGGAGGTTGCAGTGAGCTGAGATGGCATCACTACACTCCAGCCTGGGCGGCAGGGCTCATCTCAAAAAAAAAAAGACTTGATGCCAGGCGGGCAGTGCCCAAGAGGATGGGAGGTGAGAGAGTGAATGGATGCAGGGACTTCTCTTGTACATTTCCTTCTGAGGAGAGAGGAAATCCCCACAGTAGCAGAGGCCATCAGCCTCTGGGGGCCCAGCTGTGCTGTGCCACTTTAGGCCATGTTGTGCTGCGGCCGGCCTCTTCCGAGTCTCCTCTTTCCCATGACTGGGGTGGAGAAGGAAGCAGAGAGGAACGGGCAGAGGAGTGTTTTGGGCG